ACTCGACATGTTCAACGCTATTACAAACTATGCTGTTGTATGAAACTTGTATTGTTGTGAGTTGGAAATCTTTGTCAGATATCAACAAATGGAAATGGCGCCAATGACGCGGTTTGACGGTAATTACATTGACAGCTAGGGCCATCTATGGGCAAATTCCGGTTTCATATTTAAAGACCTGGTACTTGGTTGAAGTGGGAGGGGCATAATAAATGAATACGGCAGAATCTGCTCGATTTGGCGCCAATTTGTTGTGGAATTTTGTCACTAAGCTTTGCTCGGTATTTGACGTCAATTTGCTGCAAGGTTTTGTCACCAAGTTTTGCTCCATATTTGGCGTCAATTTGCTGTAGGGTTTTATCGCCAAGCTTTACTCGGTATTTGGCGCCAATTTGCTGTGGAGTATTGTCGTCAAACTTTGCTCGGTATTTGGTAACAATTTGGTGTGGTGTTTTGTCCGCGAGCCTTGCTGGGAACTTGGCGCCAAAGTTTGCTCGTTATTTGGCGTTAATTTGACATCAAGTGGCCTACCCAAGTTGTGCTCGATGTTTGACACCAATTTGCTGTCAATTTTGGTAGCAAGCGTTGCGTATTACTTGGCGTTAATTTGATATCATCCCAGTAAGCAAAATGCTAGCAGAATGCGCGCAGATTGACGCAAATTTCGATCAGATTTCCACATCAAAACCATAGTCATCTGTGTCCTCATTAGGCTCGTGTTTTGTCGACAGGACCTGTACGACAGGCCATGCGAGCAGATTGTCAGCAGAAACCGCGCAGGTCCTGCTGCCAAACTACGCGTAGAGTCTGCGCGCAGAGTTTGCTCGGTTTCTGCCGCCAATCTGTCATCAAATTACTGCAAGTCTTGCGCGGTTTTTGGTACAAATCTGCTCATCAAATATCCCACCGCAGGATCTGGCGCATATTTGACCGCAGATTGGCAGCATAATTTGATATAACAGATTCTGCGTTAAATTTGTTGCCTATTTGCCATCAAACTATGATAGCAGGCTTTGTTCGAAATCTGCTTGCGTAGGTTTGGCTATCTGGGATGTTATGTGCGCAAATTTTGTTACATAAATGCTACCAATTTGTGGACATTCTTTGATAAAACAAGGTTTATTCCAAATTTGTACTAAATTTGCCAACAAATCTTGTAAGCAAATCTTTGGCTTTATTTGGCAGAACAGATTTGGCTATCTAGGTACATCGATTAAGTTTAATTACTTAAATCGAAATTCTTACAACATATAAAAATTATTCAAATACTTAAACACACACACACACATACATGTATATATACGCACGCATACACGTTATTTTAATATTGAACATCAGATATAAGTCAATCTTCAGGTACATCTAGTACATATATATTTATATATAAAATTTTATACTCTACCATAGTGACGAGTAATAAAATTCTCTTGTACGCGCATTGCAATTGCTCGTCCTGGGAAAGCTTTATCCTGTTCGATAGCTCTGTTATTTCTATTTATTTGATGTAAAATTTCTACTTCATCAACTTCTATATCTTGTATGTGATGCGCAATTCTCATATTGTGTAGTACAGTACATGCGTTAACTATTTTACCAGCCATATCAGGATCATACATCAATCGCCTTTGTGCCGATAGACATCTGAACACAGCTTTCTACTAACCAAATAAGCGTTCTACACATGATCTTGCTTTGCATAAATCTTCATTGTATCGGTATCTTGGAGAATCTGGTATTTCGTGTTTTAAAGGTGTGAATAGCCGTGGTTCAAGGCTGTAGCCATCATCACCTAAACAATCATTACTTAAGCAATCTTTTTACATTTCTAAAATAAAATTTATAACATTTATATATTTTATAGCTTATCTATCAACCAAGTATTGCGCTCTCCATTATTATATCGTCGTTCCATGGTACGACGAATTGGGGAATTTGACCATATATACGCATCATGACGGGCACCCGGATATTGTGCATTTACATTTAATATTTTCAAATCAGGATCACAGATCTGAAAATAACAAGACAAATATTATTCAAAACATAAAAATAAAACAAATAATTTATGAAGTTAATATTTTTCTTATCATGATATACATTATAAATTTATTGTGAGAAAAGTACAACATATACTATTTGGACATTAAGTGTATGATCACTCCAATGATTCACATAAGCTTCCTCATGTAATGATGGTGTTAAAATATTTACGTAAGTACAGCCAATTGCTCCGATAGCACCAATAAATGGTTGACATGCGTTTCTAAATTTTTCTCTTGCTATAAAATGTTCTATGTCGGTCATAGGAAATTGTATCCAACGTCGAAGTAACAGGTTATTAATAGCATTTGTCACTGTACGCATCTACTGACAGCTGATTGGCTAATAGCTATATCTCATTGTTCTTCAATTGCACGTTGATAACAACCAACTGCATAGAAGCGCAGTGCAGTTAATATCTATAAAAATAATATTTCATTCAATACATTATAGTTTCAAATATAATATACATACCTAAATATAATACATATATATATATATATAATACATATATAATACATATATATAATACATACAAGTAGCAGACACTTGTCATTTTTCCATCATTTTTTGGTTATTCATTGATTAAAAATTGATTAAGAAATGATCAATAATGATCAGAACCCAGCAAACACAATGTAACATGTAATGTACTTGTTAGTTATAATAGAAGTTAGTTAATTCCTACTCAACAATATAACTGTTATATAAGATGTTATATAACACGTATAACATATGTGTTATACAGGGTTTTTCAATTGGTGCGGGTCGATGTTGGCAGCCTGTGGCGGCCATATTGTTTTAGCGGCGTCTATCTAACCTATTGTTTATTATTCAGTCACTGATGCCAAATCACCATGACAAGTTACACGATTGAGCAGCACGTCTAAATGATAAAACTTTATTATCAAAATGAGTGTTCGTTAGTGCAAACGTTGCGCGCGTTGTGCCCATTTTACGGCAGACGCAGTTGCCCTTCAAAGTCGACTCTCCAACGTTTGGTGGCCAAATTCGAGACGACCGGTTCGGTAAACGACCAGCTAACACCTGTATGTCAAAGGAACGCTAGATCGGCCGAGAACATCGCCGCTGTAAGTGAAAGTGTGCAGGAGAACCCGAGGCAGTCAATTCCTCGTCGTGCACAAGAACTCGGCCTTTCGCAGACTTCAACTTGGCGAATTTTGCATCGGGACTTGGGCCTGCACCCGTACAAGATCCAACTGGCCTAGGAGCTCAAAGTTAATGACCATAGACAACGCCGTTTGTTCGTTGACTGGGTTTCGGAGCATTTGGAAGAGGACCCCAATTTTGGCCGAAAAATCATCTTTAGCGACGAGGCGCATTTTTGGATGAATGGCTATGTTAACAAGCATAATTGCCGTATATGGCACGACGCCAACCCACATGAGGTTCAACAGGTAGCAATGCATCCACAAAAAGTTACTGTTTGGTGCGGATTTTGGGCCGGCGGCGTCATTGGTCCGTATTTTTTCGAAAACGACGTTGGTGAGGCCATCACCGTCAATGGCGAGCGTTACAGAACGATGATAACCAATTTCTTTTGGCCCAAATTGAACGATATGGACGACATGTGGTTCCAGCAGGACGGCGCTACGTGCCACACAGCGGACGCCACGATGGACATTCTGCATGAACGATTTGAGGGTATGGTTATCTCTCGCAGATGTGACGTGAATTGGCCACCAAGATCGTGCGATTTGACCCCGCTAGACTTTTTCTTGTAGGGTTTTCTGAAGTCGCAGGTCTATGCCAATAAGCCACAATCGACCGATGCTCTTAAAGTCAACATAACTCAGGCCATCGCTCAAATTCAGCCGGATCTATGCTGCAGAATCATTGAAAATTGGACCACTCGGATTCGTGCCACCGTGAGAAGTTGCGGCGGACATTTGAACGATGTTATATTCCACACATAATGGCATATATGGGTCTTTCAAATAAAAAAAGAATTTCGTTAATACCTCACACACAGCTTGTTTTATTCCATTGCAACATCGACCCGCCCTTATTGAAAAACCCTTTATAACAATTACATTATTGAGTAGAAAATTCTATCTAACAAATACGTTATATGTTACACTGTGTTAGCTGAAAAATGATGTGAAAAAAACGTCAAAATGACAGTCTATTGATATTTGAGGCTTTTGCGATGTCTATAAATATTAGATTTGGTTTCCAAGTTTGAGCCGCGTCCATTTTTTTGTAATACAAAAAAGAATTCACGCGACTGAAACTCAAAACCAAATCTAATATGACGGTCTGTTGTCATAGAATGATGACATCAAAACTTTTTAATGACCTCAGAAAAAATTCATATATAATCATATAAAAATATATATGATTATAAGTATAATATATAATTATATATGAATTTTGTCTATATATGTGACTTTATATATAACCATATCTAATTATGTATATCCATACATAAAACAAATACTGTTAAATGAAAAATGGAAAACATAATCCAATTAAACGTTGACATCATGGGTTACTGTAAATATAAACATTTATTTCAATTGTATCTTCACAACCAGTATTCCTTTCAATGTAGATATATATAATTATATATGATCATATATGGACAGAATCCATATATGAACTTTTTTCTGGGGACGTTTTTATGATGTCTTATGGCGTCATTAAGACATCATTAAGATATAAAAACGTTATTAAGACGTCACAAAAAAATCGCTACTATTAAGATTACTTTACGTCATTAAACCAGTCATGACTAGCTTTTGACGTCAGAATGATGTGTGTCTACTACCTGGATAATTTTATCATTACAAAATAAATTATTTTAATTAATTTAAAAATTGTACATTGCTTTTATGATATTCATTCTGAATATGTAATAAATTGTTAATAATTATAACATTTACATTTAATTCAATAAATATATAAATATGTTATACCTGATTCTACACTAAGACCATATGGACGTTGATGCTGTAATTGTGGTCTCAAAATATTTATTAATTCCAAAGTAATATCTGGGCTAACCCTATATAAGTTAATAAACATATCACGCGACATATGAATAATAAGGTAATAATTTTGAGAATATATTTAAAAAATTGTGGACATTTTTATTGTTTTAATATTTCTTTGTGTAGTATTTTTGTATTCAACATTTTCCATGTCATTTTTAGGCTGTTTGTATTCATAACTTGCTTTTTATAAGTGTCTTAGCTGAAAATGTTGGGTCAGTTCACAATGCACATGTTTTTCGGCTTTCTCCTGTCTACCAATATATTCAAAGTCCACAAATATATTTTCCTAATAATTCTCATATTATTGGAGATTCTGCCTATAGTATCCATCCCCATATTATGGTACCTTTTAAAGATAACGGACAGTTGACGGATAGACAAAAAAATTTTAAATTTTGCTTATCTTCTGCGAGAATGGCAATTGAGAGAACATTTGGCTTATGGAAAGGACGATGGAGAAGCATTTTGGATTGCCTATCTATGGTTACTCTAGAAAAAATTCCCGAAAATTTAATAGTTACTTGTGTACTGCACAATATTTGTATATTAAAAGGCGATTTGATAGACTTTGATGAAATATGTGAACAAGGTAGACATGCACGTGGAACATTGATACCTTGTAGAATGGAAGATGGTAATGCTAAACGGCAAACAATTATGAACAATCTAATTATGAGAAACAATTAATGTTCATTGTCACTGTTATCTGTTTCTTTTTTAATTTTTAAGATATGCATAATATTTATAAAATTTGTGAAATGAATTTCGTAATTTTATACTAATTTCTTTACCTTTTAATTTCAGAACCTAAGCCCTCTTAATATTGATTAAAGGTTATAGTAAAAATAATTGAACAATTTTTGTTATTAAATTTTATTTATTAACGTAAGGTCAAGTTTTACAAGCATCAAGAACAATATGAACTTTAGAAACAAAATAAAAACTTTAGATATGACAAATAAGAACTTTAGAAATAACAATGGCATAAATAGGAACTTAGATATTCAGACTGTCAACAAAATTAAATTACTTTTTAGTGATGGCTTCTAAAAACTGTTGCATAATTGCTATTTTTTCCTTGTGTTGCCTTTCTTGCTGTTTCTCCAATTCTTTTAACCATGCTTCTTTAGCTTGTTTTTTCTTCTCCTTTTCTACTCTTTCCTCTTTCACATCTGATATATAATCGTCTAAAACAGCCTCAATTTTCCGTTTATTATATCTTCTTTTTTATCATCATTTGTGCAAAGAGAATCAGATATGATTGCCTGCTGAGCACTTGGTCCAGCTTCTGTAGCAATAACTTTAGGATTTGCCCATCCTGTTTTTCCAAAAATGTCATGCATTCTCTGAAAAAAAAAACATACTTGGATAAATCTTCATCAAATATAACTGAGGAAGAGAAAATTTAAATTAATATACTTACTTCAAAATATGGCCACGTCTTTCTGTTATTTCCTGACACAGAATTGTGATTTAATATTTTTTTATATGTCTTCTTCAAACCATTTAATTTCGATTCACATTGCGATCCACTTACAGTACAGTTATTATTTATTTTCCTTATTTCATCAGCGATGGTTTCCCAAATTTTGTTGTAGCGTTTCGTACCTTCTGTAAACTTTTCTTCTCGTTCCTCATATTTTTCGAGCAACAGGTAGGTATACACATTTAGACGACCACACGAATAATGACTTTTCATTTGCTGTAACTCACTTGAATTTTTAGGATCGACATCAGAGTCTTGTGATTTTGGAAATGGTGTGTAAGATTCATCATCATGTAGAGACTGAACAACCGTTGAAATGCCAATATCATTGTCTTGATCAGTTGAAATTCGTATATTTGTTTCATTCATCAAATCCTGGCTTCTCTTATCATAAATTTTATTAACGAGGCTTGTCATATAATTTATATCTGAAAATAATTAAAAATTACTCTTATGCTAAAATATAATATATATTTTACAATACATTTTAACCTCATTATTACACATGAACACATTCATTATTTTTTCTTATCCATACTGGCTCTCTCCGCATCTTGTGGCAAAAGCTTCAATATTAATGTTTCGCCACTATCTTCGATGAAAACAGGGACAGATTAATTTATCCGACATTTTCGCCAACCAAATTTTTAAGTTTATAACGTCTTTTCTTTTTAACGTGTTCTCTTCTTAACGTTTTCTGTGTTTTTTTCTTAACGTCTTTTGTTCTCTTCTTCAAATCGTCACTTTTTCGCGCATTTGTGACGTCATGCAACTATGATACTCACGGTGACCCACCTTCCAACCAGAAACATCGTGAGCACTGAAGACATCATGTATTAGGTGCGCAACTAAGTTCCCGCTGTTTTTCAAGAGATGGCTCCAGTAGTAAGTGCTGGTCGATTGTGACATAACCAAAACGTCATGAACCAAGCTTAGACATATGGTAAACAAACCGCTTTGACACATTAGTGATTTTGTTTTTGCATCATATACTTTTGGTTGTGTGAAAATGTCTGATTTTGTGCCAAATAATCGTCATTTGCGGGAAGTGTTGCTTTTCCTCTTTCATTCGAAGAAAACGGCGGCTGAAGCGCATCGAGAACTCCAAAAAGTTTACGGAGATGCTGCTCTAAGTGAAACAACGTGCCGTGATTGGTTCCGTCGCTTCAAAGACGGTGATTTCGATGTTGACGACCGTTCGCGTGAAGGAAGGCCAAAAACCTCCGAAGACGCTGAATTGGAGGCATTGCTCGATGAGGATCCGTACCAAACGCAAAAAGAACTTGCTTCAGCATTAGGAGTTACCCGCCAAGCCATTTCCAAGCGATTGCATGCGTTGGGAATGATTCAAAAACAAGGAACTTGGGTTCCTTATGATTTGAAGCCAAGAGACGTTGAGTGTCGTTTTTTCGCCTGTGAACAACTGCTCCAGCGGCAAAAAAGGAAGAGTTTTCTTTATCGCATCGTTACGGGTGATGAAAAATGGATTCATTACAGCAACCCAAAGAGAACAAAATCATGGGGACTGCCCGGTCATGCTTCTACGTCGTCGGCTCGGCCGAATATTCACGCTGCGAAAGTTTTGCTGTGTATTTGGTGGGACCAGGGCGATGTTATTTCTTATGAGCTGTTGAAACCGAACGAAACCATCACTGGGGAACGGTATCGAACTCAATTGATGCGATTGAGCCGAGCACTGCGCGAAAAGCGGCCACAATACGAGCAGAGACACGAAAAAGTGATTCTACAGCATGACAACGCTCGGCCTCACGTTGCCAAACCCGTTAAAACCTACTTAGAAACGCTCAAATGGGAAGTCCTACCCCACCCGCCATATTCCCCAGATATTGCGCCGTCCGATTATTACTTGTTCCGTTCGATGGCACATGGTCTGGCTAATCAGCAGTTCCGCTCATATGAAGACATCTCAAAATGGCTTGATTCGTGGATAGCCTCAAAAGACGAACACTTCTACCGTGACGGTATTCGAGCCAGAAAGATGGGAAAAAGTTGTCGCTAGCGATGGGCAATATTTTGAATGATTCATTTATAACCATTTTTTCACAATAAAGTTGCATTTTCATCAAAAAAACAGCGAAAACTTAGTTGCGCACCTAATATTAATGACGTCACTTTGCTCATGAAAACGCTGTAAGGATGAATCGGACCGGCCGTGAGCGCGATGTTAGCGCTGTAAGCGTGTTTCGGACCACAGCCATATTCGTCGTTATACTTCGTACAGAATAGCTATTATCGATGAGTGTCGCTCAACGCTCTTACCGACACTAGTGGCTATCGTTACGCGTGTACAGAATTGAGCCCCTGGGATATTGAGTAATAAAAACATTTTTTCTGCAATTTATTTTTTATTTTCGTTTTGAAGTGTATAACAAATTCCATTAGTACTGTCTCATTTTCTAGCACAATATTTTAAAATTTCTTTCTGGTTAGATGCATTATTGAAATGTTTGTATAGAATACCCGTAAATTATTTGACGATGTGTTAATTCCAAAAATGTCTAATATCACATATCTGACTACAAGTTGTAAACTATGCTAGGAAATGAAACAGAATGGATGGAATTTCTATACATATATAGGGTGGCTCACGTAAAGTATTATAAGTCCATAACTTTAAAAATATTTATTAAATCAAAAAATTGTTCATAAGGACGTTTCATTTATTCGAGAGGCTTCTCTAATTACGTAAACATAAAGTCGTCCCCGCTTCCCCTTTAAGGGGGAACAGGGGTAACTTCATAATTTTTAATGGAACCCTCTATAAAATATTGCATATTTGGATTCTACGAGAAAAACAAGTAAATTTTATCTGAAACATTTGTTTGGAAAATGCTTCTATCAAAAGTTATAAACATTTAAACCTTTAGCGATTTCATTCATGATTGAACTCCATTGACACAAAGTTGCGTTCGTAGTACAACAGAAACAAAAAAGACCTTAGAGTACATACTTAATGTTAACCAAAAGAAACATAAATAAACACATTTGTCGGGAAACGTAAATACAGATCACAGACCCGTTTCCCGATAAATGTGTTTATTTATGTTTCTTTTGGTTAACATCAAGTATGTACTCTAAGGTCTTTTTTGTTCCTATTGTATCGCGAACGCAACTTTATGTCAATGGAGTTCAATTATGAATGAAATCACTAAAGATTTAAATGCTTATAACTTTTAATAGAATCATTTTCCAAACAAATGTTTCAGATAAAATTTACTTGCTTTTGCCGTAGAATGCAAATATGCAACATTTTATAGGGGGTTCCATTTAAAATTATAAAGTTACCCCGTCCTCCCTTAAAGGGGAAGCGGGAGCGACTTTACGTTTATATAGTTAGAGAGGCCTCTTGAATACATGAAACTTCCTTTGAATAATTTTTTGATTTGATAAATATTTTTAAAGTTATGGACTTATAACACTTTACGTGTGCCACCCTGTATAACAATGTCCGGCAGAAATCTTAAAAATGTCGTGCACGAATATTCTTGGGACGTTTTCAATATCTCCACCGATATCCTGTGACTATCTCGAAGACGTCCTTGTGTTGTCCTGATTATGTCCTCTGAACCACATGAGGGACGTCCGGAGGACGTTCTCGGGATCTCCTGAGGACCCGCTGAGGCGCTCATTTGCTATACTACAGGACGTCCTGAAGACATCCCTGGACTTTCATGGGATATCCTCAAAACATCCTTATATCCCATCCCGGACATCTTGAGGATGTCCTGAGGACGTCCTTGTGCTGTTTGGGGAGTTAAATGAAAACGATTTTGATCGACGTGTTCAATTCTGTGAGACTATGATAGCGAAAATAGATGCAGAACCTGACTTTTTATCTAACATAGTCTTCTCAGAGGAAGCAACGTTTCAATTAAATGATATTGTTAATAGACATAATTGCAGATTATGGTCTGATACAAACCCGCACTGGATGTGGGAACACAATATGCAATATCCACTGAAATTGAATGTTTGGGCAGGAATATTAAATAACAGATTAATAGGACCATTTTTTATTGAAGGCAAAACTTGACAGCTCATTCATATGAAGACATGCTGAGAAATCAAATCGTCCCCGTAATCAACGCGATCGTTGGTGAAAACTTTCAACAGATATGGTTTCAACAGGATGGTGCACCACCGCATTATGGACGAAACGTTCGTATTTATTTAGACAATT